CTTCTCGCGGCCATCTAATGTTGGGCCACATCCGGCGAATCGCCCTCGAGAAAAAGAAAAAAAAGGAGAGAAAGAACTAAGGGGGAACGTCGTCGTACCCTTCGCCTTCGGCTCTTCCCTTCGTCTCGTCTCGTCTCCGTTTAACACAATTCATTGCACTGCGCCCAGCTGCTTGCTTATTAGCGTTACTCTTATCGCGTTACCGTCACGCTCTAAAATCTGCCGTTTAATATTTAAGCTTACCGCTCGCTCGCTCACACGCTCACTCTCTTTCATATATATTTTACGCACGTCTACATATTTTAATATTTAAATCGAATTATACTAAGCGCGGGCGCGCAGAGGCGATCGGCTGAGCCGCGAACACAAAGGCGGCTTCTCGCCTCGCACTCAACGTGTTACTTATAATCGTTTAATGTGAAATAAAAAAAAAAAGAAAGACGAATAAGAGGAAATTCAATTTGCTACTGCTCAAAAAGTCGAGCAACGCGGGGATGTAAAAGACACGTGAAAGAAATTCAAAAGCCGTCCGAATTGTTTTAATACGCGACTCTTAAACTCGATGTCATCTTTCACAGAATCTCAAAGAGTTGCAACGAGAGATTTCGAAATTTATAAAATCTGTCCTCACAGCGACAGGATCGTGCCAAAAACAAATCCTACGAATCCCAAACATGCATTCCTATGCCGAGCTCTTCGACTATGTTATCTCGACTGTGTGATCCTATCGAAATATCCATCAGGATAATTGAGATAATTTTTCTTTCGTTTATTCTTCATCGCTCGTCAGATGAATCACGAGATTTTTATAAAACTTCATCGTTTGGGCAATGAAATAAAAATCGACTGATAGATGGACAGAATCGAGAGAATTTCAATGAGAGGTCTCGAGATGCCAGTGCAGTTCTTTTGTCGCGATATTTCGATCAACCTTCGAATTTTGTGACTCTTTCTCCGTCTTGAGTTTCGCGTTTGTGTATGAGAGAAAATGTATTATGTGTATGTATATGTGTGTGTGTGTATATGCACGCGCGAATTCTGCTTCTTTGGTACGTAGAAATGTCTACAATAATGACTCTATCGTAATAATAATAATAGTGCGACGATACTAATAGTATGATAATAATAATAGATACGAATAATCTTAATTATAACGATAGATCGCAGTGGATCGCAGCAATATTGCTGAATACCTCGGGCTAACAGTGAGGATCGATCATCGTCATAATCGTCATTATCACGACTACTTTGACGACGACGATTTAAAACAGAAAAAGACGGCGAGGCCGCTCGCCATGTCGGAGGCAGATAGAAAAAAAGGCGCCTACAAAACCGAAATCTTGTTGAATCGATATTACGCGATTACGCGTTCAGGTGGAAGCGCAGACGAGGCGATGCGCTTTATTATAAATTTACAAAATTTATTTTACATCGTCGCGACACGATGGGATTGTGTGGGTTACTCGTCGCTTTTCACATCGGCGCCAGTTGATTGCACATGTGTATATGTGTCTGTTACGAAAGATCCAATACAACGTAGCGATCTCCATTTTTTCGAGAATCCAGTGAAATCAATCTAAATTTTGTGCACAGATCAATCTCTCGCGTCAAATTCTCAAAAAGCGAAATGGATGCTTATTTATATCGAACCTCATACACACACATACGTGCGATCAAGCGAAGTAATTAAGATTCTGCGCGTACGTCCCAATAACATAATCATCACAATTAAGTTATTTCCTCCCGTAACAAATCTGTTAGCATTTATATTAAGCAAATTTTATAAAAAGTTATTGACTTTATTGCACTTGAGATTAAAAACGACTGTGTTGTACTATTTTTTCCGATATCATATGTATATACACGTATGTATGCATATGACTGCATGTATGTGGTTTTGTGTGTGTGTGTGTGTGTGTGTACGTGTGC